CCCCCCCCCCCCATCTCCCGTCTCTCGCCCTCTTTGTGTGCCCCCTTGTGTTTTTTTTTTCTATTGAAACCATCCACCACCAACCGTATCGAAACCACCGAAGGTGTTCGCGCCGAACGAGGTGACCGGCGCCTCTCAGTTCTGGTACCTGATGCACCAGATGCGTAAGATGAAAAAGACCACCGGGGAGATCCTCGACATCGTGGAGGTGCGTTCGTCTCTCGGCTGGCCGGCTGCCTGCCGCTGATGGCGTTTGAGTCGGGGTATGCACGGTCGCACGGTGCGGTGTTGTGTAGTAATCGTGAAGGGTGCAACGAGATGGCGATTAATTCTGGTTGGTTCTACAAAATATTGCAGTTTTGATGTTTTGATACATGCAGTGATGCCGACCATCGGGCACGCGCAGGTTGTGGCTCAGGAGTAGATGTTGGCGTTTCTGCGCCCGTTTGCCGCCGCCGCCGCTGATTGTTAATGGGCGCTTGTGCTCGACCCTACCTTTTTGCTTCCGCACTCGGAATGCTGTGCTTGTGTTTTTGTTTTTGTGACGACAGCTGACGGAGAAGAACTCTCGCATCATCAAGAACTACGGCATCTGGCTCCGTTACGACTCCCGCTCCGGCACGCACAACATGTACCGCGAGTACAGGGACCTCACCCTGACTGGCGCCGTGGACCAGATGTGTGAGTACAAGTTTTAGCTTGACTTTTAACAAGTTTTGTGTTTCAACTTGCAGTACTCGGCTCGTTTGCTGCCTTCGCCGAAACAGTTAGGAGGAGCTCCTGCGGACGGCCGCACAGTGCCGTTATTTCGTTCGGTCAGGGATGTCATCATGGTGATTCGGTTTTTTCTAGTGGTAGTGATGCGCTCCCTTTGCCTTCTTTTCCCGTATGCTTTACCGTGTTAAGCGCGAAGAACGGCAACTAAGAGAGCCACGTACCAGCGTGTCATCGCCACGCCCATCGCGAACAATCTGTAGATTTGTATCGGCGATCAGTGTGAGCAGGGCTTGCGCGTTCAACGGCTGGTTCCGCGAGCCAAGAATAGAAAACGAAGCTGGTTCTTGTTGCTACGCCCATGCGTCCTATCGGGACAGTGCAGGAGTGACCGGTCTTCCGTTGATCGTGGAACTTGTGTACCCACAGCAGCAATAGCACTGACAAGTTCACCAACGTTGTCTGCTGGTGTTTCGTGTCCCTCTCCTGCCATCCTCCCGCCCCATTTTCGTCTCCGTCTGGGTCGTTGCTGCCGCTCTTGTTGTCGCCTGTTCGGCGGTGCTGACCGCTGCTGTACGTTCGTAACCATGGCGTGACGCTTGCTCGGGCTGATGGAACGCGGACGATCTCGACAAAATGCGAACACTGGGGCTGCTGCTGCTGCTGCTGCTGCTGCTGCTGCTGCTGCTGCTGCTGTTTTTCCTCGCGGTCAATGACATGATTGTTGGGAGCAGACTCGCAGATGGCCGGCCGACACCGGTGCCGCCCTCGCTCCATCCAGATCATCCGCACGGGCATCGTTGCGGCGAAGGACACCAAGCGCCCGGACGTGAAGCAGTTCCACGTGAGCATGTTATTTTTCACAAGATATGATTGATTTTTTGAGAGCACGGGCTCCGCTCAATTGAGGCCCTTCAAAGCTTGCGGAGGACTGCGATCGTTGTATGTAGCCAAGACGCAACGGCTAGTGTTCCACTCATAGATTTCCCGCGGCAGCACAACGGATCAAGATGACCCGTCTACGGCGTCCACGTGCACATGTACGCACGTGTACACGTGGAATTTCCACGGCAAAGGTGATTTTGTCCGTGGTGGTGTGAAGGGTAAACTCAAGCGTAAAACGGTTGATGTTCGCGTGCCCCCACCTGGCGCAAATCGTGCCGCCGGCCGCTTTGACGGCTTGGTCGTTCGTCCTGTTGGTTCGGGATGCCGGCTGGGGGGTTTAGGGGGTTGCTTCTCGACCACCGCCAGGAAGTGATGGCACCGGCTTTCGGTGTCGGCGGTCTGTGTAGGTTACGGTTTCCGGACGTCCCGCTTTTGCGGCGTTCGGCGGTCCCGCGAAGGGACGGGTTTCGTTTCCCAGCGGGAGAGGAGGGGGGCTGGGCAAACATCATTGTGTTTGCCATCGTTGTTTTTGCCAGGTCGGCAAGTCGGGTGGGACCCGTGCTTCCAGCAGTCGTTGTGCCATTTCTGCTTCATGCCCGGAGACAAGCGTCATCTCGCGCGGCGTGCTTCCTCGTACCTGACTCGTCGCCTCTCGTTCCCTTTCGCGCGGCCGTGCTCCTCGCAGAGCGCGAAGATCAAGTTCCCCCTAACTCACCGCCTCCCGCGCGCGCCGAAGAAGAAGTTCAGGACTACCTTCAAGGCATCGCGTCCCACCACCTTCTTGGGCTAAGCGTAGACCGCAGCAGCTCCACGGACTCTGAAGTTTTGACAAAAAGGATGTCGGGTTTGGGGAAGGGGAGAGGGAGACCCTGTTCGTCCGTCTGCTTTAGATGACACGCGCGTGTCACCGCGACCGAGGCAATCGGTGGTTTGTGGATACACCGGTCCTCGTTGTTTTTGCGGCGGCGGATATCGGCGCTGTGTCGTGGATGGGTCTCGGTCATTGTCATTGGCAGCAGGATCTAAAAAAAATAAACAGAAAAATGCCCAAGCGTGCTGAGGTCTGTGGTAGTTGACAGCAATGAGCAAACATGTTTGCTCTCGATCACACTGCAAAAGAGAGGAGCACGCGGTGGAAGACTTGAGTGCGCAGAGAGAGCGTGCTGTGCAAGGAGTTGCCTCAATGTCGGCATGAACTGGCTCTGTGCCGGCATCTCCCCCGCTCTCTCTTTTTGACATCTACATTTTTCCCGTGTTGTGTGCTCAATGGTGTTGAAAAACCTGATGCGTCGCGCCAGGGCTGGGAGCACTTGCTGTGCGGCCCGTGCGATGGCGCTAGCTCAATGATGGGCTTCGGGGGGAAGTAATTAAGGGCCGTCGCCGGGTACCCGGCGAGTGTTATTTTGTGTACATCGAAAACCACCTTTATCATACACACCCGCTTGCACGCGCCATCACAGAAGCACATCGGCCTCAACATCTCTTCGCGGACTCTCCTACAGCAGTCCCCTCTGGGGTTGTGTTCTGTTCTTTCCCCCAAAAGAAACGAAAACATCCATTTCACACGGAATATTTCGACTAGAGTATTTACCCACGTTGTTCGCGGTTCAAGCACAGCACATTTTTTTTTTTTTTCTCCCATCATTGGACTCTGTCGTCTGCCCCTCTGGCCCCTATCCTCCACTTCTAGCTAGACGACCCAACCGGGGTCACATAGGAGGGGGGGGTTGGACCCCCTCCTGTGGTTCATGCCTGAGGTATTTTTATCGCGAGAAGGGTACAGCAATTCCTTCCCTCGCGACTTACGAAGTCGATTATGGTTTACTAACAAACGAGCTTTGCAGCGCGTCGCTTTCATCCTAGACCAGGATTTATTTGGTGAGAAAAAAACTCTCTCTGCAGGGACTCGAACCCATAACCTGGCCCTAAGCAGGCTGCGAGGCTACCCACTAGACCACCGGGGCGACCGGTACATATACCGTGTCCATCACTTGCAGCTGTTGCGAACGCCTGGGGTTGGTATTGAACTACTTTCTGTTGTGCGCGTTGGATGTTAGACGTCCCGGAAAACACGCAATGGAGTGCGGGGCCGTAGTCAGTGCAGGGAATCCAAGTCCTTCCGGTGCATACGTACTGTACATGCACAGCATCGGATTCGGCGCAATCACTAAGGTGAAACGTCACAACTTGTCATCTTGGTACACTCCCTCCCCCTCTCGAGGCGGCGCGAAACAGAAATAGCTGCAGCACCGAGAACGCCGAAGCAGCTACTGCTTTGCTGTTGGTGTGTGCGTTCCCAGACCCATTCGCAGTGACGAACCCGAGCACATACACTTGATATGCACACATGCGAAGAGGGAAATATTCAGCCTCTCTCCCTCGAATGAACAACTATGAGATGCGTGCCGCCATCGAGACGTGGATACATTGAAGGCTGCAACACCGTTGAGTACAAATCCAAACGTCAACACCTGAAACACTTGTGCCTACAGCGCATGTGGTGCCGTCGTGGAAGCAAATAACTCATTCACCCTACAGGGGGCCTTTCTCCACGGCCGGCCGCCGTACTGGTATCTCGGGTTCAACCATTTGTCGGGGCTAAAACCAGTATCAGCGCCATAGTCGCCGGCTGTTGAGCTGTTGCCGCCGCCGCTCCTACTACTGTAGCAGCAGGAGAACGACCCACAATCGCGAGGATTCGACGGCCTAGATCAAGCGAGCTCTATTTGACGGGGCCAGGTGGACCTCTGTCAACACACACCATCGGGTCCTAGGCCATCACCGCCACCACCAACAACGCCGGCACCGCAATCTCCCTCGAAGAGCACGCCGCCCGGAAGGAACGGGCTGCCCGGCAAAACCTTGGCCCTCTCAAGCAGAGCGTCGGCGTTGAGCTCGTCGCTCGTTGGAAGGCCGAGCGACTTCTGCCGCTGGTCGAACATGATCTTGCGGATCGCGCCCTGAGTCTCCCCGTCGTACTCGCTGATCTTGGTGGTTGAGTCGACCTGAACCACAATAAGAGATATAGATATACAAGGATTGATCTATGGTACAGAGAAAATCTACATTCGGATATGCAGTGTACCCCGAATGGCGAGTGTGGATAGCGGGACGGTAACCAACTTTAACATTCTTCACTGTTGCTGCACGGACAAGAAGGTACGAATCGTGAAAACGGAGCAGGTCAGTCCGATCTCTGCGTTTCCGTGTCTGTCCACAACAGCACACAGCGAGGTCCGGGTTTGACTCAGACCAAAAATTGTGTTGTTCTAGCGTGAGCCTGGACGCAGTCGCGAAAGGGTTGCCGGTCTTCACGTTATCCTTCCATAACCTGTCGTAGCTCCAACAATTGTTACCGCTGCCTGAAGGAGAAACAGCTAGACATTCTGCTTCGCTTCTGTCGTCGACCCGCCTGCCTCGCCCCAAAGCCAGGGAGTGCAGCCACCAATATCACGCAAAAGTGAAAGTCTTGGCACAAGGCACTCAAATACAAAGCGGAAGCCACGAAGGCAAGACGACACAAAAAATCAACAATAATGGTGTACCGTTCGTTGCACGAGGTACCGTACCTCCTGGACCCTCTGTCAAAAGCTCCATCTTCCTGCAGCAAAAAACGTTACTGTGCTGAAACGGCGGGGTTGGAACCGTCTCGTCTAAATCTGTTCTTAACGAAAATGCGTTATTTGACCGCGGCATCCTGTTCGTCGTGGAGTACTGTAAAATAACCTTTTAAGTCTGTCCAAGGCGTGTGGTACGTTACGCAACCTACGGTATGAATAGCAGTGCTTGGAGTGAGGTTGGCCACAGCGACAAAGCAAGCTGCACGTTCAGTTAAGAGCCTGGAAAAAGCCGACCGTCGCCTTCGTTATCACTGAATCCTACCTTGGAGGTGTCTATCTCCGGGTCTCCCTCGACAACGCTCTTCCACCACGACTTTGTCGTCTTCTCGAACGATATCACTACCGTCTTGCCGTCGTTCAGGCTCCACATGCTGTCCTCCCGTGACACCGCACTCGGCAGCTCCCCGTCAAAAACCACGTCCTCAGCCCCCGCTGCTGCTGCTCCCGCTGTTGCTGCTGCTGCTGCTACTGCCCCCGCCCCTCCCGCCGTGCCTGCACCTCTTACCTTCAGCTTCAGCCATCTAGGCTGAATGATGCATGTCACGTCCTTGGAGCGAGTGCCGGGGGGCACGTCGACATACACCGTGGCTTCGTTTACTGTTTGCGTCCAGTAGTACCTGTCGGTCACTCCGCCGTTGCCGATAGGCACCTGCTTTCCGTCCTCCGTGTAGCGCACGCTTATGCATCCCGCCGCCGCCGGTTTGCCATTGGCGGTGGTTGGTGGTTCAGGAGGCGGGGTTGTCGTGGAGGAAGGGGCGACGGAGCCTTCGCCGGGAGTTGGCGTCGATGGTATTGATGGTGCTGCTGCTGCTGCTGCTGCTGCTGCTGCTGCTGCTGCTGCTGCTGCTGAAGCTTTTGGTGCCGGGGCAGGACCGCCACTCCCAAGGGCAGTATCGACGCCGGTATCGTTCTTCCGCGAGGTTGAGCCCCCGGCAGGTCCAATTTTTGTTGCAGCAGTTTCCTTCGCCGTTGATGGTCCTCGCCCTCTCCCTGCTGCAGCCGGCAGTTGCTCGTCCTGGACTCCGTACGACTTGTACGGGAAGGATCGGAACGCGCGGAGAAGGAGCTTCTCTGCCTTTCCAGCCGGGAAGCCCATGCCCGCCCTGGCCGTCTTGGTGGGATCGAAGGTGACATAGAAGTCGGTGTTCCTGTGGAGGAAGGAAAAGAACGCCCCTAGCAAGGCCTCGAGAGACCCTGCCTGGCCCGCCAGGTTCCGGAGAACGTCGTCGAATTTCCGGCCGACTTCCGCCATCGTCGTGGGGGTATGCAATACGATACTTCCCCGAGCGTTGCGTTGGTTGGTATACGAGGATCTCTTGTGGAAGAGAGACCTACAGCAAAGAGCCACCCCGTTTCGTCTTTCCCCTTCCCCGATAGAGCTGAAGCCGCTTGTGCAGTGGGAAGGAATGACGCGATACAGTCCGTTGTGTGCGAGCACAAGCGAATCGCAAGAGAGAGAGGTGAGAGGAGCGTGACTTGGTCCTGTGTTTGAAGTGTTGGAAACGTGGGGAGTGGAACCACGAAATACGGAGATCCGGTGTTCTATGGGATCGGAGGCCTGTAATCTATATACTTTTCGGCCGAAACTGTCAACTGTATAAAAAAAATGTGGGCGTCATGCTCACCGGTATGGCGGCGCCAGTCTGCATCTTTCGGCATACACTTGACGTATCAGCAGGTACAGCACTACCAGTTAATGCATATATAACTCTCACGTGGCTGCAGATGAAGAAAAAACAGGTACAGCAGTAGAGTACTGAAAACAGAAAAAAGCAGTGAGCCCCAAACGAACCAACGACCGTCGAGAGGACAGCAGTAACAGGCGGTACGATTTTTCCGGTCAGAACCAGTGCGCCATCTCGGAATGAATGCATAGATACATTGCGGAGGTAAGTATTCACCATTTGGGAAACTCAAGCATGCGCGAGAAGTGTTGCAGCCGCCCCCATCATGGAACATTCCATGTACTTTTACGCAGGCAACACTGTGCTACCTAGCAATACTAATACTGCTGTGCTTGTTGGTAACGAAGGACGCCCCTCTCTCAAACATATCTCTCTACTACTGCACACTGATCACTCGTGTAAATGGAACGTAGTCATCAAATCGCCCATCGCTGATACATGCACACACCCAGGGATTCTTCTTGTCAAAATGAGGATCAGAATGATGATAGCGAAAACAAGGAGGATACTGGTGAAAGTACTCCTAAACGAACTCGAGTACTAGGTAATAGCCTTGGTAGACGGGTGCAGTTTTCTTCTGTTGCTGCTGTTTCTGTTTTTGATCCGAAGGATAGTTTAGCCTACCCCATGCTGCCCCCTCACGGGGTCCCAGTTCATGGTAGATAGAAGTGTTTTATGTTTTCAACCGCACTAAGACTGACGTATTTTCATTGGTCAGCCGGTTAGCGCGGTCGATGCTAATAATAAAATACACACACAGGATGCCCTTTGCAACCAGCGCAACACCACTGAGTTCCCATGTTTCGCATCATTCAGACGTCATCTCATCATTACAGAGACTTTATTTTCCTTGACGACGCGAGGGGACGCATCGCATATCGCATGCGGTCACCCTGGCTTGCGCAGGCTACCACGACATGCGCGTGTGTGCGGTCGACAGAAAACACCATGTACACGATATGCGAGCGTGGTGTTTGGTGAGGTGTGCCACCACCGTGCGTAGAGTGGGCGATGAGACCAACCCGAATGCGCGCGTTTGTGCGCGTCCCAACGGGAATGAAAACTCTCGGACCTCTCCCCGCGTTGATTTTTCGCATAATATTATACCGTAGACGACGGAATAATGCTGCTTGCTGCTATATGGGAGAGTGGTACCAATAACAACAACGTCAAATTGTCGTCTGTGGACAGGGCAACAACTAAGTGCGGGTTAATGATGAACGAGCACACATCAGAGACCGGCTTAGCCTGAGCTGTTTGCGGCCTACGCCACTTACATATCGGGTGAGACTGTTTTGGTGATATATTGATTTCACGAGAGGTAGACGACCGTCCTTCACACGGACGAAAGAGGGAGTGCTCGAAGAGCGGCTCCCACAGCAAGGAGGGGGGCCGTGAATCATCGCGGTGCCCCCTACCAAACGGCAATCTTACCAGTCTGCGTGACACCAAATCATCCAGAACATGTATCCAACACCAATGTTCGCAGACCCACGAACACCCTCGCTCGAAGAGCGGCTCGCACAGCAAGGAGGGGGGCCGTGAATCATCGCGGTGCCCCCTACCAAACGGCAACCTTACCAGTCTGCGTGACACCAAATCATCCAGAACATGTATCCAACACCAATGTTCGCAGACCCACGAACACCCTCCCTGGTTCCTCACGCAAGTGACTAACCATCAATGGGGCAAGAACGCCCCTGGATACATCAGAAAATACCAACATGGTAATTTATGGAGGGGAAACCCGGCGTCCGGGCAAAATCCCTCGAAAAAATAAAACTACCACCACAAAAACCGTCGCTATCACAGCGGATCACAACGGCCGCACTTATTAGAAAGACCAAGACGAAGACAAGAGGAACTACGTTCCCCCGAACTATGGTCTCCCATCGCCCCCTATTCCTGCCATTGGTACACAGACCGCAACAGTTATGCGCCTTTCCCCGCATGGAAAACATTACCTCTCCGAAGTGCTAGAAACTGCTACGGCTACTCCGGCAAATTTATCAACTTGCGCCGGTGGTACTGCAGACTAGCCCTGCTAAGGGCCTTGGTTAGAGGTTTGCGTGTTGCTCCGTTGTCGGAACGAACTTGACCGAAATAACCCCCGACCTAAACAATCCGCGGATGAAACGAAATCTCACGCCGGTGTGTTTCGTGCGACCTAAGCTGATGGGGTTCTGCACCAACGCTATGGCCCCCTGGTTGTCCCCAAGGACCTGGATGCTGCTACCGCCAGTCTCTGGGTCAACAAACGAAAGCACAGCACGCAGAAACAACGCCTCCTTGACGCGCAGCTTGGGCCTCCTCTGCGCGCTCGAACAACTCTCGCACCGCCCTCGTCTCTAGCCCTTCCGCCACTTGAAGTACCGCCGAGAGCATCCAGCTGGTGAATTCCTCCGTGCTCCTGACGGACAGGCTTGCCACCGAGGCGAGCAGGACTTCGCCACTCGTCGGCGACGGGGGTGACTCGTACCTCGGCGAGGGTTCTCCCTGGTGCGGCGGCTGGTTAGTTCCGCCTGCTTGTCGAAGCGGGCGAGCCGCCGGGTCTCTGGCCCACGGAGCGCCGGGAGATCTGTCTCGCTGCCGCTGCCGCTGCTGCTGTCGCTGCCGCTGCCGCCACTACCCGGGCTGCTGCTGCTGCGGCGGTCGTCCTCGCCGCCGCCCACATCGGCCGTGCCGGTCGACGTGGTAGATGGGGCGACGCTCGCGCCCTCCTTGCTCGAGGGGGCGCCATCGCCAGCGTCGCCCTCGCCCGACTCCTGGCGCCGCCGGCGCTACGCGCGCGAGCGGCCCCGCGGGCCCCGGGGCTGCCGTCGTGCCAAGGTTGAAACCTGGT